TAGCAGTAGCAGTAGCAGTAGTCGTCCTCGTTGTTGTTGCTGCTGTTGTTGACTTAGTTGCTTGTTGTGGCAGCCGTACGAGCAGTAGCAGCAGCCGTGGCCTATCGCGGCCTTCTTAGAATCAGCGGCAGTAACTTTCACAGTAGTCAATAGTAGTAGCCGTGCCAAGAACTCAAATGCAGTAGGATTAGTAGACACTACATTATTGGGGGATCTTGTGCCGGGCGGCCGTTTTGACAATACGCAGCGTGCGGACAATGCGCAGCAGCTTGATGACGCGGATGCTGTTAGCATGCTGCTCCTGGTCATTTCCCAGAAACAACCTTTGCACAGGCTGGGCTGTGAGGATGAGAGTGGTTACTGTCGTTCTTGATACGTACTGCTACAGTGGCAATGAACCAGCTGCAGGAAAAAATGTTTGACACCTGAGAACGGGACAGAGGCAGAACCAGCAGCTCAAATGCATTCACAAAAACCACGCAGGCGTCGAAAACGTTGAGGTACATGAAGCCTTCGCGATGGTCAAAAATCCATTCGCGACGCAGCACCCAGACTCGAATCATCACATCCAGGACGAACAGGACGAAAAAAACATACTCCGAGATCTCGAAAAAGTGCTCCGTCAGATTCAAACTGCTCGACGTAGAAATACCTAGCAAGACGTCAGCCTGAGATCCTGTCCACTGGGTCATGATGATCATAAATATCAGGTTCACAACCACCACCATACCCATGTAGCCGTCTAACGGCCCTTTCACAAAGCGCTGAAGAGGCGGGTCCGGTTCCCACTTCTCCCTCATCACCTGCGTCCCCATGAGACTTTTGTGGCGCCGGGTAGCCTTCATGCTGCTCTTCGGCTGCACATCCTCCTTCGTAGAAACTTTGGCTTCCACATATGGTGAAGGAAGGACAGCAACCAAGTCTTTGACCTCCATCTGGACCTCCCACATTGGCTCCCTCTCCAGCAGCACCTCGCTGTTGCGCTCAGAACCCCAGTTCAAGTCCCTGCGAAAGACCTGATCCAGCAAGCGGTGCAGTGCCTTTTCCTGCTCTGCGAACTTGCGGTCCAAGGCGGCCAGAAGCCAGTCATTTTCCGACTTCATCTCCTCAGGATCACCAGCTGGACAGTCCATAGCACTGCGAGCAAAAGATTTACGGATCTCGTTCTCTGGTGAAACTAATCAACCTGAAACTGCAAAAGCTTGAGCCAGCATAGACGGGACGACTGCATCTGGCAGGCAGGCCACATGGGAATGGCAAATTCAGCAACTGCAAGCCACGGTAGTCCTTTTGCAGCAAGGCGAACGAATGCCACAGCACTCTCATCTGCAGTCGTACATGGTTACTGTAACTCTCGTCGACGACTGTAAAATCCCCTAATGCTCGCCCCAGCGCACGATCCTCCGGAGATGCTTCCAAATGCACCTGCACGCAGAGAACCCAAAGGCTTAAAGTCTTAAAGGCCAACCAACGCTGTCAGTTGTTTGTTGCTGAATGCTTGCGTCTGTGGGCTGCGAGTCTTATGCCCTATGCGATGCCAGTGCCGATTGACCCCACAATGGCACACGACCAAGGCCACATCCTCGCCTGGAAGGCTCTAGTGTCTGATAACTCTCACAGGGGTGAGCAACATGGTGCAACATGGCTCCTTCTACTGATTCTACGGCTGCGACGACGACAAGAGCCACCACTACCACCACCACGACTACGAAGTGACACCAGCACAACCTCTCCCACTCATGATGCTGCTCTTAGTCCTCCACCTTCCTAAAGACAATTTGACCCACAACAAGCCCACCTACTAATTACTTACACACCTTTTGGCTGCTGCTGAAGCTACTGCTGATGCTAATGCTACTGCTCCTGGCTGCAGTTGCTGCTAAAGCTGATGCTTGTTAACAATGCGAGAACAAGAAGAACAATAAGAAGAACAAGATAGCACGTGCGTTTGTCGCCGCGCGGGGTGTGTCGTTTATGTTTGGGACGTTTTTTGGGTCAAAGCGCGAAAGTGTCGATATTTGTGTGGTTTGCGTGAGCAGGAGGTTGTTTGGCAGCATGTATTTGTCCAAGTTCTTTGTCTTGGATATTTGCTGAGGTTTTTGCGAAAGTACGTCTTTTTCGTTGTTTCTGGCGCTTGATTTTTGTGTCCATTTTGTCAAAAACGTGAGTTTTTGGCATGCGCGAAACTTGTAGAGGCTGCACCCTGTCACGGCGCCAGCGAAGACGCCTTGGAGTAGCAGCCCAGAGGAAAGCAGCCAACCAGCTGCTACTCGTCGGCAGCGAAGCCACCGCAGCCACCCTCCGGCTCCGCCGGCAGTGCATCGTCCAAGACATCGTGGTGTCTTGCGTAGCCGCTCCACGAAGAGCGCCTTCGCCGGAGCTTAACCTCAGCAGCACGAACCAGCCCAAGCTGGCGAGCGGTCTGGACCTCAGTACGAGAAGCAGCAGGGCCCCATCCGAGGCGGGCCTCAAGCGGACATGCTGGACAACTCAAGAGACGCACCTCAGCATACTTCGGATGACTACAGTGCCATCCTACATGCTCGATCGCCGGGCACTGTGGACCCTGACAATCCCTGCAGGAGTCTCTGATGGGACCAGCTGGCGACCATCGAGCGTCGGTCGAAAAGCCGCCGCACATCACTGAAAGGCCATGGCCGTCCTGTAAGGCCGACACCTTTCGGACCCTCTCCACCAGGTCAGGAGTGACTTGCACTCCCACAGCCCTGGCGACTTGTGCATCTCTGCGCGACGGATGCGCGAGCCACTCGTTGAATTGAGCCACACGCCACGAAGTCCTGAGGAAGTGACCGGCCCTCTTCTGAGACTGCAACGGGTCCTCCAGTCTCCAGTAGTGGGCCGCATCTGCACTGCAGAAAGCGCCCCACTCGTTCCTTACAGCTCCCCAGCCCAGAGCCCGCAGCTCCGACACGAGGACTTTACCCACTTGGGACCCGGCGAAGTCACAACGTGTAGGGTCCTTGCCTAAACCCCTGGACAGCTTTGTCCAGCGAGCCAAGGCCCCGAGAGTTTTCTGAACGCCCAGCAGCCCGAGGTTGCAGCAGTGTCCTAAAACAAGAACCCTCTGCAACGGCCTAGAAGACCTGTCAGCCGGCCCCACACCCTGACCCTTAACAGCAAGCCTGAAGGCAAAGCCAAACCTCTGCTTCTCCGCGGAAGAAAGACACCGCCCCGAGAGGACTGCCCCCCACGACGCCTTGCAGGCCAACGTGGTGGAAGCCAGAAAAGCTTTGAAGCGGAGAGACGAAGGCAAAAAGGAGAGTCTAGTGGCCAAGTGCTTCGTGGCCTCCTCCCGCTCTACCTCCTCCCTAGAGGGGTCTCTCTGGTCACAGCCAACCGAGATGCCCAGCATCGGAGCCGCAGCATCACAGGCGATGCCGGCCTCTTCGCACTCGGAGAGCGCGGTCTTGGTGCGCGCGAAGCGCCGCAGTTTCGTCTCTTGCATGCGAAGCCGAGAGACAGTCTCCAGG